CTCCCTCCCTCCCTCCCTCACTCACTCACTCACTCATTCATTCATTCAATTACCGTTGCCTCAGTAACGGGCAAGAGGCGGCGATGCGCGGCTGAGACGTTCTCTCCTCCCAGCACCCGGTCCAGTTCCTCCTGAACCGCCGTCTGCAGTGCTGGGAACTTCGCGGCGTAGAAAACCAGCCACATGAACGCGGACAGGACAGTGTCCACACCGGCGATGATGACATCGAAGACAGTCTGCATCATGTGACCCTCCGTGAAGCTTCCCGCGCTCTCCCCGCCTTCTACACGGCGTTGGATCTCCGACAAAAACACATCGACTAAACCGCGGATGTTGTTTTGGTCCAGCTTCAGTCTGTGCTTGTGAACCTGATCTGCAATAAACCGACGCAACTCCCTGAATTCTGCTTCAAGACCTTCGTCTGCTTGACCAAGAAAAGGTACTTTCCTGAGGAACGGAAAGACGTTAGATAGACCCAAGGAGCCAAGATTTACTGAAATTCTGTTCAAGGACGACACAAACTCTTGGAAAGCCACGTCATCAGGATCGAAACACTGTCCGAACACAAATGAGCAAGTGACGTTGAAGATGGAGAGGGCGACGTCCGACTGGACGTCGGCCGGTTTGCCCTGGTGACGCAGTATGGAGGAGACTAGCGTTCCGGTCCTCTGGTTCATGACGGTTTCGTTGTTTGATGCGGCGTGGCGGATGACCCTTGACACGAACTTTCGTTGTTCTTTCCAAGCGTCACCGTACGGTGCAAATATTATTCCTATTGATAGAAACAAACAAATTTAGGATGATTTAGTTAACGTTGTTGGATACCTTAGGCCTCATCAGCCTACGTAACATTTCCCAAATAGACCTCTAAAGGTTCTCAAAACATCATCTATGGTACCCTCCAAATTAACTGAATTTCAAAATGTATGCTTCTGACTCATAGCAATTTAACTGAAGAGACGTGGAGATTTTGAGACGACTTACCTTTCTTTATCATATATCATATCTTTCCCATTTTGGATCGCCATGCTATATCACATGTCATATCATGTTACATTACCTTGATTTATTCTCATTTATCAATACCTTATCCTTTGTTGACCTTAGAGAGCATATTTCAGATCCATTCGTATGCTGGGAAAAATAAAGAACCCTGGGCATGCGTTACCTAGCCTCCACCAGGCTTCAGAAACGGGTGGAAAGAGCCCCATCTGAAGCTTGGTACAGGCTAGCGTCACTGGAAAATGAACCATATTCACCTTTCCCGTTGTCGCTGAACATGTTGGCCAATGGCAGGCTTGCTCTCCCGGCGAACTCCGCGCTGAGGTCCATGTACGCTTCCTTAAAGGCCCGGTAGCTGTTCAGCACAACAACGTCTTCTGACCCGAACCTTACCGCTATGATGTCCCCATACCTGCAAATAGTTGCATTACAGAGCACAAATTGCAAACAGATAGCTTAAAAAATCGATACATATAACGTTACATGTACCGAAGAAGAAATATTTTCATTGTTCCATCTATGAAAATTTTGGAAGGAAAGTTGAACTTCAACCGAATCTTATAGCAATGATGTCCCCATACCTGCAATTACATAGTTGCATAACAGAGCTATTCACAAATTGCACACAGATAGCTTCAAAAAATCGATAAACCAATTGCACTGAGAAGAAATATTCTCTTTGTTCCATCTATGAAAATCCAGGAAGGAAATTTGAAATGAAATTCAGAATTTTTGTTGCAGTACTAGTACAGTACTAAGCCACCCTTGTCTTGTCCAAAGTTGCCAACAAACTGCAGTTGAAATAAAGCTGCTAGGGGGTCCAAACCAATATACACAACGTCAGAGTTCTCAAGAGCCCTAGCGCTATCTGCCATCAAAAGAATCGTGACCCGTAGCATGTTCACAACATGGAATAGCAAAACCTAAATGATGGCTGCAATACCATAGACAGCCGCTAGGGAGCCCAAAATTTACCAGTAATTTACCAGTTATAGTATATATATTTTCTTTATTTGCCAATACCAATATACCAAAGATCATACTGATCCACGCACATCTTCCCGATTTGTGCTATCCACAAAACAACGAACAAGGCGTTATTAGCGAAGGTATAACAAAATTAAACAAAGAAAAACAACATTGAACAAACTTGATAACACATATTTAATATTATGTTAATGTATCTGAATTATTGTTGTTAATTGTTCATAATTGTTTATTGTCCAGTTATGAGGGTTAGCCCTTAATAATAGCGTCCGGCTAGTTGGACAGTCCTGGCTGTATATTTGTTTATACAGTTTGATAAATCAAATCAAATCAACACATACCTCTTACTCCACTCTGTCAGGTTGCGGTGGGATTTCTGCCCTAACCAGGGGAGATGTCCCACGATCGGCAGTGCAGGCGGTCCGGGCGGCCAACGCCTCCGCCTCTGCCAAGTCCACTGCCAAACCAACAAAACCACCACCAGCAGGAGCAAGAAAAACGTGCTGCAACACTCCTCTCTTGGGTCGGCCGACATAAACGCCATAAGTAACGGACAGCCGATGAAGTTACGTCAATACAACGATCAACTATCAACACCTATTGTACACATCTAACGTACATGTAAGGCAAACACGGAAGTCAGAATCGGCTCGCCGCACGTGTTGTGGTTCCGGGTCGAAGTTCAAAGCTAATGTTGCCGGAAGTGCATGTAGCGCTAGCGTGTTTGGCTGTCAGAGCATAGTAATCAATAGTCTAGTTTTTTTATTACCATGGTCAGAGAGGTGGCCTCGGTTAGCTTTGATGCCAGACTACAGTGCTCCAGTCCCTCCTAAGGCCAGCTCCTACGCCTCAGCTCAAAGGTAAACATACCCACGGGGCCTGGGAAATTGAGCTCAGGGTACGAGTAAAATTTCATCAGGGACATTGGCCCTGGAACCGAAGGGTTGGCCTTGAAACATTAGACCACTTTATATTAATACGGTATCAGATAGTCTTTACTAGTAACCTATTTACTTCTTTTATGGCGTAGCTTGTCTTCTGAAGAAGCATACTGGTATATCGCCCCCAGTAGGTACGCTGTTCTCTTATGAATGTGATAAACTAACTTCTTTGCGTGTTTACCTAGCTAACGTTATTAATTACATGAAAATGCCTAGATGTATTTGTTCGTTTCAGACGTTTGTCTGTGTATCTGTGTGTGCCCGCATAACTTAAGAAGGCCTTTACGGATTGTTATAAGTTCAACATTTGTTATGTTGGAAGGTCAAGGACAAATTTGGGCCTCCTGGTGGCTGACCTTGGAGCTGCAGCAGAACTTCCATTTTTGTATCGTTTGTCCTGGAGAGAGAGGGAGAGGGAGAGAGAGATGTACACAATCGTATGTAGATTATGTAGATTGCATGATTAAATTACACAAAATATTGTACATAATAGGGCTTCGTATAGGTTTTAAAAGGTGAGTTTATTGCACAAATTTTGAAAGTGGAAGTAAATTAAAATCACAAGCTTAAGGCTTTAATCACAATTAAAATATTTCCATTTTGACTCACATAATGTCCCTTTGATAATCAACGTCAGATTTTTATTCAAATAACGACAAACTAGAAAAAATACAATTTAAACAGTGGAGTAAACATACTCTCGACGTATTTTGTGATCTCAGTGGAACATAAGCAAGTGATATGAATAGTGAATTCATAAGATAAACGTTATGCTGTATGTATGCTGTAGGCTCTTAGAAATGCTCAGTTTGAATTGAAGATGTGTTTCCATATGAAACAGTGTTGTTTTTTACCACACGTATGAGTCTCGCAAACTGAATCAGTTGACTTGCAGGCAACATTTTACTAGGATTTTCTATTTGACACATGCAGTTCTTCAGTTTGCAAAACCTCTGTTAGGAAAATAAAATAAGATGTTACATACTTTGCATTCTAAAGTCATTTTACCAGCGTATACCACGTGCACAATGACATCAAAACGTACAACATGCATTGTATGTTGATGCCAAATCCGCCATACTATGACATCTATGTTGTTGTTCTGCACATACAGTACCATCTCAGCAAATGCGGAAGTAACTATGCCACCGCAGGGCAAAAATATTTGGGGCTCTATGATCTAATTAATCCATGAAATTGAAAAATATTGTGCCAGGAATGCCAGCAGGACAAGGGTTAAATTGGTTTCTCGCAAACGAAAGGCTGACGAGAGCTGCATCGGTCGTTGTTCCACTGCCCTGCCTTTCTGTGTTTTCCGAACATCCAATTTTTGCCGGTCTGATAAAAAAACGATCAAGCACATGTTATAAAAACGATCAAGCACATGTTATACATTCAGATACCGTCGTATTTGTATTCGTTCATTTATGGAAAGCATTTCCCTTTTTTTATTCAACATAGAACATGCAACTTGATCAAATTTAATATACTTATTACATCATTGTCTTTACTTCTGGCTACCATCTACCCTTGTACCCACATTTGAATTTGATGAAAACTATTGTTTTAAACTACAGATAAGGACTCTCAAGTTATCATAATATCCATTTTGTTGTATGGTTGCTCAATACGGTTTCATAATTACCCATTGCAAACCCCCATTTTGATTATAACATAATTTTTTCTACTTGAATTTTTACTTGACCAGCTACAGGTAGTGTCCTTTTGGTAACTATAGATAAAGAAAAATTGTGGCAAGTCTAGACAATGTCTATTCAACCAAATTCTAGGCTATCGTAGCAAAGAGAAGCACACACCTTAGAATACATGGCAACGCAGTCCTCCGCTTTCAAAAGCTTCAGCAACGTCCTTGCATTAGGCTCACCCGGAGCCCAGTTTTTGTAGTGAAGACGTGATCCATCCGTCCACTTCCATGCTCCTGATTGTTTGTGCAGTCCGAGCCAGATGGCCGGAATTTTCCCTCCTGGCGCTGCAATCAAAGAACAACAGGCTTAAACGTTTGGTATCTTCTTCTTGACGTTAGAGAGGTAAAGACTCTGGTATGTATGTGTTTCACTAGTTTATACATTGTTTGTAGTTTATAGATTGATTATATGAAACTCGTGCTTTACTTGCTTGTATTATGTTTTGTCTGGTGTCGACATGAATATAAGTGTAACTTGAGTGTGTCGTCACCATGTCTTGTCACTGCATGTTTCAATAAATAAAATATCTGGTAGATACCGAGGTCCTTCCCCCTCCAATAAGTCCAGTAACAATTTTGGTATCAAAATATTTGCTACCCCGGTCGACTTATGGGGAGGGGCCCTTTTTATGTACTCTTTTTCTGTCAATCAGTATTTTCATGACTCGTTTTTAGCGCAAAATAAATATAAAACATTCAATGATAGAATGAGAGCAAATGAAAAAAAAACCCTCATTGTTAAAACATTGATTATGAATTGAACCTCATTGGTTAAAACGGCACATTTTTTTTAAATTTATGCCATTTATTTGTCCTTTGAAGGGTAAGAAATGTCTCAATATGAACATTTCTTCAAGAAGTTTATCATTTTATGCAGTGATGAGGTATAATGTATTGTGGAACATAGATAATTGGGTATAGAGACGCAGGTGCTCCCTTAGATTGTCTTCCTATTGACTGAAGCACTAAGAATCTTGTTAAAAGTGGCCACACGTCACGTGTTACCATATTCTTTAATTCCTCTAAATTGCCATCAAAATGTTTCTGCAAAGTCTGCACCATCCATGTACGAAACATACTGTACATATTTCCAACCATTAACCAACCAAAGTACTAAGAATCCAGTCTACAGTGGTGACTTGTATAATGTTACCATTTTCGGCAAGTTCACTGAATGGATCAATATTCCTGAAAAGTCATGTACGAAAAATGTGCATATTACCCACCATTCAGGATGAGGCCTGTAATGAAGTTGTTCTCGTCCACGTCTTTGATGGAGGCCAGACTTGCACCGTGTTCTGTGCATCGTAACTTCCCTTTCTTCCAAACGACTTTGCCCCTCATTAGGATGTAGCAGTGGCTGTTATATTCGCTCCATCCAGTTTCACATCGAAGGCCTGTATAATAAACAGTCGTGTAATCAGTCAATTAATCAACTATTTAATCTTACAAAATATTATACAACTCATTCTCGTCGATTTTGAAAACCAAAACTTTTTCTCACAATTTGTATGTAAGTTACTCATGAAAGAATTTGGCCTCAGGTGAATACATTTATAACCATAATTTTGTGATTTAAAACTAGGTAGATTCATTGAACCGCGACGGGGGCCGACATCGTCTACCAGATTCTTTGACCCAGTGTCAACGTCACACTTCAAAGAAGCCACATGGCAGGCTTCACTGGGTCAGTCTACTGAGGAAGACCAGAGTGACTGGTCGAAAGCTCTAGGTGAGAGAGCTTTTTGTGCTGGACCAAAAGTTTTAACTTTAAACATAGGCAGATTTGTGTCCGCCATCTTTGTACCTACGGTGTCCACGTTTCCCAATGCTTCTTTTGTACTTTCACGCAGGTCTGGGCAATGAGTGAGTGACATGACAAAGAAAAGAAGTTGCTGTAAGCAATTGTTGGTGACTTAAAAAGAGTATCACAACAATAACTGACGATCCACACAACACACAAATGTGGGGCTAATAGGTTTGTAAATATATTCAGCCTCAAGTCAATATTGCTTACCTGTGGTTGACAGAGATGTGACAGTTTTTGATAAGGCCTCGGTGGTCACAATGCTGTTTGTGAATGGCAGATACGTCGGAGTCGAGTTGACCACTTTGAACTCGTCAAATGCCGAGTTGTCATCCTTGTAGAACGTCATCTGCCATGGGTTGCCGGATCCCTTCAGCATGTCCAGGGTCATCGTGCCATTGTCCTTTGGCTTTGCATCAAGCGACATCTACAAAAAGAAGCACAATTTTCAGTGAAAGGCTAGAGGATATATCCTCTCAGTAAAAGGCTAGAGGAAATCTCCTCTCACTGGAAGGCTAGGATGTATCCACAAGATTTGACAAGTACACATAGTTTTCTGGATTTCAGCTACCTACTTTCATTGCTTTCATCTTGGCCTGGGTTAACCCCTTCCCCGTGCCCAAGACGCCTGCAACAGAGGCTACACTTCTGGGCTCTCGGCCCTGTAAACAAAACGTCTGTCGGGTTTTGATCGCTTTAAATAGCCTTGGACTGGATTGACCCCCCTCCCCCAAGACAAAGACAAAAACTCCAAGTGAAGTCTGCAAGGGAGTCTACATATTTGGGAAGTCCGCCCTGTAAACAAGACTTCTCAGCTTACCCTCCCACCGTGGGTGATGTGAGTTGCCAGGATAACAGAGACGACAACAGATGCTACGGCCAGAAGTCCACAGCCCAGTGCAAGCCAGCACACTCTGCTAGATTTCCATTTATTCCATATTCCAACGACACACGCTGAGATAAAACAGGAATGATAAAAACGCATTAAGATAGAATATACCTAAGTACGTATACAATGATAAGCACAGAAAAACAAGAAGCCAACAATTATATAAGCATAATAAGGCATAAATACTACATAGCCAGCACCATTAACTGCAAAAAATCTTATTTAGCTGATAGTTTTGGAAAGAAATGGCTATCGATGTCCTTTTGATCTACTATTGAAATTTAAATACAAAACA